CCCTACAACTTCTTCTTCATTTTAGGAAAGAGAAGTCTTCCCCTCACAGCTCAGCTCCTCATCCACAGTGTTAACTTTCCTTCATGCTACTCCCTCATAATCGAGTTTTTGAAGCCTGGTGATCCAAAAGCTCTAAGCAGACATTCCCACTTCAGTAATGTACTTTTCTGAATTACGTTTTCATTTCCAAAGATGCTTGGTATCTGTTTAGCTCTGATTATGTCTTTCAAGTGCTGCAATCTGATAAAATCTCCTGGTGATGAAATGTGGGTGGTATTTCCCTCAAACACCCAGCAAATTGTCTTTAATACCAACAGCTGTTTTTTCGTCACTAACAAAGTCCCTCCCTCCACTGACAAGCAATTAAATATGAAATAAACCAAATAAACTGGGATGCTCCTACTGCTCAGTTTTATTGACAGCAGACTCATATGATCTAGCCTTTAACATTCTTTACTTCTGTAATTAATTTCTCCAAGTTATGCCACAGGTCTTTGTGTTTCTGCCACAAGACAGCCAAGCCCATTTACAGTGCTTCTCTGGTTTCTGGTATGTTCCTGTCTAATCCTTGTGTTTTACCCAGTCGCAGTCGGTCACAGACAGAAAAAACTGTTCCATTGAGAAGAAAATTTTACCTGCAAGACAAGTATCAAAGAATCACCACGTCACCATTCCAAACCATCAAGTCTAATGCTCAGCTAGCCCTCCAAAAGCTTAGGAACACATTCTGCTTTGTTTCGGTGATATATAGGCTTCTTGAACCTTCATCTCACCCTTCATTCTCTCTCCCCATCATCACTCTCTGAAGAACTTTCACTGGGATTCTACTTGCCTCCAGCTTTGGCACAAATCCTCAAATACAGGGAAGTACTTGCACTCAGAGTGTTCTGCTAACCACCCCACTGAGCTTTCCTCAAGAATAAACATTCAGGATCGTTTTGCCATAGTTGATTTCTCCATGGGGAAATTAATGAGAAAAGAAGAAACAAGTTTTGTTCTAGTTCTGTTCCCTGGACTGATAAAGAAAATGGATCTGAACTTCTTGGGCATTCTTAAAGATCTTCCTGGTTAAAGTTTTTATGGTAATCTGTATTCCCATGGAAGCTGCTCCACTGGTTCATTCTTTAGGCAAACAGCTCTAAATTTCCCATGTTTTCCATCCTCACTGCCTTATGCTTCTGACCTAACTGATAAAAACTACACCTGATATTGCTCCTGAACAAGATGCTACATAGAAGACTATCCTACCACTAAAGTGAAAGTTTGCATCTCTCCTCTCTTCTTTCCTACTGATGGAAAAAGTCTGTAATCTTATTAACTGCAACAGCTGTAAATAGTTGCTGTTCCAAAGTAGTCCCACCTGGCCTGGGATGGCCCTGCCTCCTTAAACTCTGAGCTCCAAGAACAATCATTCTCACCCAAAGTTGGTAAAGCCTTCTGCTCTTTAGCTCCATACATTCAAATGAACTAGTTCCTCTAAGTAAATCTTTTTGTACAGCGTTTCACAAATCTCCTTTTCAAGCCACAGTCTCCTATTCCCCCTCCCCAACTGTCAGTGGTCTCTTCACCCAAGTTTTGAAATTTCCACATTCTTCTTTCCTGGATTATGTCCCAAGTTATTCATCTAAATAGTTCCCCTGGACACAGCCTGGAACCTCCCTGTAAGTCACTTGCTCAGTCATCTAATCATATCCTTAATCCTTCCTGGCAGATCTCACCCCAACCTGCTACCCGAGCTGAGAGAAAGCAGGAAGCCCTGCCCTAGCTATTACATGGAACCGGTCCCATGCCCTTACAGAAATAAGGGCACAGAATTCCTAGATCATCCTTCCTGATAGTAACTGTTCTTCCGACCACCTTTTTTTTTTTTTATCCTGATGACTGCCAAGACCATGTTTTTGACCTTTGTATCTCTCCTTGAAGTTTACGGCTTCCTAAATGATAACCTTCAGCCTCCTAGGTGAATATACAGCTACAATGGATTTTAGACTTCCATGAAAGGGGTCTAAAAACATAGTCAAGGAAGGAGAGAAAAAAAAGTAGATTTTCAACAAATGAACAAGCAAAAACATTAAGGTAAGGCTGCAAATGTTCTTGATAATACGTATGGGGAAAATGGCATAGAACACTAATATTATTCCCAAATGCAAGATCTAAAAAAAAACTCCAAAAAACCAAAACCACAAACAAAACAGCTTTAGACAGCATGCTCAATGCTGAAAAAAACTCTGTGACATCATTCAAACAAAATCCATTTAGGCTCATCACATACGTGATCTTTTGGGGTTCTTTTTAGTCTCAGAAAAGGTCAGTTGCTTTTAAATAGTACAAAGCAGGGGAGGAAAAAGATCAAATCCTTAATGTGCAAAAATAAAGCAGCACAAGACTCAGTGGGACATTTTGGCACAGTTCTACACAGGTCTCATCACAGGAGTCTGAGACAGCAGGAGAAAACACCTGCTGGCAGGACAATCCTGCTGAATACTAAGAACAGGGCTAAGGACGGATGGGTGTCCAATAAAAAATGGAAGTGGGAACTGGAGAGAATAAGTGTAGGAGTCGTAGTGGGAATAAAATTTCTTCATATTTTGTTGTGTAATTTTGCTGTGTAGTAGTGTTTCAGTATGATTTATTGTGTAATGCTATTGCATAGCATCATTTGTTGAGCAACTTTGCTGCGTGGTATAGTTTTTTATTTAATGATATTGAACATTAGGCAATGATCTTGCATGCCATAATTTATGTTTTCTGTTGAGCAATATCACTGTCATAGCTCTTGACATGAAGGTGAATTGCATGAATTCACATAACAGTGCTGAATTCATGATCTGAACATATCATAGAATAGTTTGGGTTGGAAGGATCCTTAAATACCATTTAGTTCCAACCACCCTGACAGTGGGCAGAGACACCTCCTTCCATTAGACTTGCAGAGCCCCATCCAACTGGTCTTGAACACTTCCAGGGATGATGCATCCACAGCTTCTCTGGGCAAGCCGTTCCAGTGCCTCACCACTCTCACAGTAAAGAATTTCTTCCTAATATCTAATCTAAACCTGCCCTCTTCCAGTTTGAAGCCATTACCCTTTGTCTTATCACTACATGCCCTTGTAAAAGGTGCCTATCCACCTCTCCTATCACCTGCCCTTAGGTACTGGAAGGATGCTATATAGTCACTCAAACATGGCAAATGGAGACAACTATTTTTGTCCGAACAAAGACACATGCAGAAAAGCAGCAAACTGAGTGGAACTTAATGCATTAAGAAATTATTTCACTGAACAGCTACACAGCATTGCCTCATGAATAACATTTTCTTATCCAGAGGTACCTTGCGACTACAATGTGAGACATTACATGTTTTGCCTATCCATATCTGACCCTAAACACTACAGGAGAACCTTGGTTTACGTACTACTGGGTACAAACAAGAACTGTAATGTTTTTCATGTGACTTAGGCTCTACCAAAACTAACCTTGCAGGAACCTGCTGAAATTCAGAATTTGAACAAGAAACAGTCCACCTCTTACACAAAATAGGACTGATTATTTCATTACAGCGGAATCCTGTGATCCTTTTTCCAAAGAAATCAAGTAATCCATAAGGATATCAACTTTGTACTCACATCTGTTTCTATATCCATCTGAAAATGCTATTGATTGGCTAGAACAGCATCTCCTTCACGAGTTACCTGGCAGTCTACAAACAATGGTATGTTGCAAGCGGTAGAGAAAGAGAGCAAACACTGGTAAATTACAATACAGTGCTGCTGCAAGCATTTTTATTTGCTGTCATATTCTGGCAGTTGTTAAATACAGAAAAGAAAAATATGCATGTAGATTTAATTTTTAAAATATGGCAACACACCTAAGTTATGGGAAGGCAAATTGTGGGACAAAAATGAGCTCCTTCCATGTATAACATAAAATTAATTTATTATCTGACAGATGGCAGAAGGGAGGTGGGCAGAAAAGCAAAGACTGCTGATGCAGTGAGCTCCCCGTCTGCAATGCAGGCCCGACATTCCCACTCCCCACACTGCCACAAAACACATCCATAGTTGCACTCATTCCAGTTTTGTTCTATGTGTTTTTAGGTTTAAATCAAAATAGCCTAGACCTCATCGTTGTGTGGACAACTAAAAAAAGAGGAAAACATCCAGAGAAGTGATCCTCCTGTCAACTGCCCGTGCCTAGTCACAAAATGAGCTATGAAAGCTGCAACTCCTTTCATTTGACCAACGAGACAGAGCCATTCACGCTGACCAATAAGGCTTCCAGAGCTATCAGTCACTGCAGCAAGTTACCACCTCATTTACTGCTCCAGCACTGAAAGCTGCTTTCTCACATTTTTCCTTATTCCAAGACATTATCTCCTCCTTCAGCATCTTCCACATTGCAGTTGTGGAGTGCAATTACAGAAGTGGGGCATATTAAAAACGAAAACCAGTGAAATTGACCCAAACACACCCAACATAAAACGAAAATCTTCATCACTGACAGTGACATTCCTTTCCTCGTTTCGTTCGCTGAACTCCACGCGATGCCGGCACGGCGCTCCCACCTGCCGCAGGAGCCGGAGGCCGTCCGAGCTCCGGCACGAAATACCGGAGGGCTTCGCTTACCTCCGACATCACATTCCCGTATGACCACCCCAAGGCACACCGCGGCGAGAGGGAACCAGAGGAGCCGCGGCTCCGGGAAGCGGATTTCGCTCCGTCCCGCCCGCGGGCGCCCGAGGGACACCCTCACCTTGCCACGACGCGATGCCCCGCGCACCCCGGGCCCTCACCCGGGATTACGGCGGATAAACAAACAAAGCGCCCAAGCGCTCCCAGAAGGGCGATGAGGAGAGGCGGGTGCGGGGGGTCCCGGCGAGCCGGAGCGCTCCCCGCGTCTCCCGGGAGACGGAGCCATTTTGAGCCGCTGCGCATCAGTGGCAGCGGGCGGGGGGCGCCGGGCACGGCGATGGCGGGGCCGGGGCCGCGCTGGCGCGTTACCTCGGATGCTCCAGGTCCAGCGGTAGAACTCGAGGGTGTCGTTCACCACGCTGGACACCAGGCCCATGGCGCTGGGGGGCTCGGCGGCGGCGGCAGCGGCACCCATGATGATGGTGAGCAGCAGCAGCAGCGGCGGAGCCGACAGACCTGTCTCGGCGCGTGCGTCCGTACCTCTGCGCCGGGGCTGCTGCTGCTGCTGCCCCTTCTACAGCCGGGGATGTGATTTAAATCTCTATCTCTCGGTATCTTCCCTCCAGACTCCGCCTCGCTCCCGTCACCGGCTCCCGTGCCCCGCGGGCAGGGCGGAGGGCGCGGAGGCGGGGGGCGGCGGCGGCTCCGCAGCTCGGTGCGCAGGGCCCGGCGCGGTGCGGTGCGGTGCGGAGCGGAGGGAGCCGGGCGGAGGCGTCACGTGGCCGCCGTCCCGCTGCCCGCCGGCGGCGCCCGCGGGGCGCGCGGCCGCACGGCCCCGCACGGCCCGGCCGCGCAGGCGCCCCGCGGCCCCCGGCGCGAGCAGGTGCGGGGCGGCGCGGGGACCCCGCTCCTCCCTCACGGGGCGGCGAGGGGGCGCTTGTTGACTTAACTGGGCTTTTTATTTTCAAGTAGGGTTTGGTTTGGGTATTTTTTTACCAGATGGGGTAAAAAAAAAAAATCAGTCAGTTCATATTGCCTTTCTTTCTTTTCGCTTTGTAGCGGTTTGGATTTTCCTTCTATTCCCCCCCTTCTGACTCGTCCCTGGCGGACACGCTGAGGCATCGGCGCTCGCCGCGCCCTCGTTAGGTCCGTTTGTGCGCACCGAGGTACCGGCTCTTCTCCTGCTGCGAGGAGCCTCCGCTGAAATCCCTTATTCCAGCACGGATAACACCAGCAATGGCAACAGGACCTCACCACTTCCCTGCCCCACCGACTGATGGCACTTCCCTGCCCAGCCTCTTCCAGGCGCCATCGAGGTGTCCTTCACACACTCTCCCCTCATCTCCTACACCAAGGCCTGTATGTTTGCTCCACGGCGCAGAGAGATTTTCCCTGCCCAGAGCGTTGATGGTTGCTGCATTCGGCACCCTGCATTTCAGCCCCAACAAACCCCCTCACTGGTATGAGGGCACCAGCTGCTCCTCAAACCCTTTGCTTCTTATCTCCTCCTGCCAGCTTGTCTCTGACCCTCCCTCTCCCACGGTCTGCATAGTGCGGATGGCTGCATGACACCCCCGGGATCGGTTTGCCCACTGAGGGGCAGGAGGGAACCTGCTCCACCCGAGCTGTGAGCTTTCCTCACAGCAGACAGCAGATCAGATGGTATCTACCTCTCCCTTCTCCAGTGCACCAGCACCTTTGTCACTTGCCACTTGGTCTTGTTGAGCACAGCTCGCACTGCTCCTCCTGGGTGAGTCACCCTCTGCTTAGCTCCTGGACTGCCCTGGCTGCTGCGATCCCAGCCCTATGGATGGGAGAGGCACACTGGCCATCACTAGGTATTCCACAGTGAGCCGAGCTGCTGCACCAAAACCAGGTGTTTGGGAGTACAAATCACCTACACTGGGAAAAGGAAGAGGAGCTATGTAAACCCCTGGAGGCCTGGATGGACAGGGAAGTCCAGCTTATGCCGATGCCGCCTGAAAGTTGGAGCAAAGCAAGGTTATTGCACACGGATGTATGGACAACTGCTAGTTCTCTCACATGAGAAGCATCATTGAAAACTCTGCATGAACTACGTTGAATTACTCTTTATTTTGATGGCACTGCTCATGGCAGAAGGTCTGGTGAAAGCTCTGCAATGGATCTGTCACTGGGTAGGGCAGCCTGCTTCCCAAGTTGTGGGCAGACAGTGTAGTGTTTGTTAGCTGTGGTTCCTGTGCCTCCTTTAGGTGAAACCACTGCAGTGTATTATTGGACATTTAGAATCTTGATATGTGGTTAGCATTGTCTGAAGCACAGCTTTGGAACTTTTTTTAACACTATCATTTAAATCAGAAGGAAACCAGAAGATTGAGTCATAATCCTCAAATTGGTGTATGGCCATTTGTGATGGCCACATGCTTGAAACAGAATGGGCTACTGAATGAATCAACATGACAATGGATCGCACTTCCCTGCCCTTGTTGGGCAAGACATGCACTAAAGAAAGTGCCACCAACACAAGGAGTGAAAATCCAATCTACCTACCAAAGAACAAAAAAAGAACAAGACACATTAGCAATATTAATATATATTCCTGTTAATAGTTATTTATATTATAGCTTAGATATGCTTGCTTCTTTATTAAAATGATTACTTATTTATTCTGTGGAAGACTTTTTTGCACAATTGACACCAATAATTGTTGTGTATAAAATGTTTATACGGTCCGGTTTACTGTGTCATCTATTTCAGATTAGACAACTTTTCTTGATTGTAACTAAATCCTTTACATTGGCTGTATGATTGTACATAGATAATTTTACAGGGCAAGTAAGCCTTGAGAAGAGCCTCAACTGAGCTGCAGAGGTTGGACAACAGGGAGAAGATGAACAATCTAACCAGTGTAACTTCCTTTGTGCTTTGAGATTGCCTTTAAAAAATGTGCTGAAATCTATGACAAACTATTTTCATTAGTTTAACTTTCAGCCTGCAAGTATATGGACATGCTTTAAGATTAGGTCTGTGTTGGGGCTTCCAAACACATTCCAGCTGCTTTCCTACATTTGTGCACCCAGCGGGATGTGGTGGATCTAAGAATGCTGAAACCATGTCTTCTACTTAAAGAGAGCAGAAGGAGGAAGGCATCCAAAGGCACAGTATCAAAGCATCCTCCAGGAGTGGAGCACAGTAGTCAGAAACAGATGGTTTTTCAGTATCGTTAGTTAGCCAGTGTTGTCATCTTCTACCTGGTAATCTACATGTTCCTAAAACCTGGACATCTCAGGTGGGCAAATTTATGCTGGGAAAGGCAGACCTGTGGCAGCTGACCCCAGAGGAATGCACACATATATTCCCAGCTGTGCTCTGTCCATTTGGCCAGCACTCCAGGGTGTTTGTGCTGGCAGCAGGCAAGTCTTTGTGCTTCAGGAAGGTGCAGAAGGCAACAGGAAGTTGTGGGACAGCCTGCCTCAAGGAAGGTCTCCTCACAGTTCCCATTCCTCGTACAAACAGTTTGTATTTCTTCCAGATCTTCTGGTAACAACCCCCAATTATATCTCATTTCAGAACTGTTTCAAAGCCATTTTCTGGTTCTTCATGAGACAAATAAATAGTGATAGAAACTTTTCAAATTCCAGATGACCAGTGCCTTCAGTAATACTTATAAAAACACATGTATTCATTAATTTCAGTGAGGCTTACTTTATCATAATGTTTGATGAATCAGCAGATGCTTCTGCACTAGTTGGAAGTATTCCCACTCAGGTTTCGCTTCAGGTTAGCAATGAAATTGTTGTAAGGGGAAAAACGTAATACAGGTATGTTTGGTAATATTTATGAAGTGTAGCAGGAAGAAAGCAGTCAGAGCTTTGTATGTTGCCACCAGTGATCCCTCCAGGCAGCTCACCAAAAGACAAAAACAGCAGTGAAAGAACTCTGCCTTGCTACAAAGAGAATCACTGCAACCAGGTGGGAAAGCGTAAAAGTGCTTGAATCAATGCATTTAACAGATCTAAATGTTACACTATGTGGTAAGGGACAACCTATTCACTTACCAGTAAGGAAGGCACATGAAATATTACATGTGTTAAGCACAACCAAATTTAAATGTTCGAAACACCTTAACTTTAGAAATGTGATTTGATTAACTGTTAAACTATCATATTTTTTCATTTGTTACCATCAATGTCTCAAGAAGGAAGATGATGAAATAAAATAGCACATTAATTTGCAGTGCATGGGATTTTCTTGCACAGCCTGTCCAGTTGATATGCTCCTTGCATTAAAGCTTTTGAGCTGATATGCCTTATAAAGACTGCTAGCTGAGCCAAAAAAATCGCTTATCTGATCTTTGAATCAACAAGCACAGGCTCAAGTGTATTCATATGCAATAATACAACTGCAATCTGCTTCAATACAGAGGCTATTTTAAGGCAGCTTTATACTATACAAGCTTAAAAGACACTTTTTAAATACAACCATAATTTTAAAAAATAATAACATTAAAACTAACAAAGTGTCTTTCAGCACTAATTAATTTTTTTTGTTAATTACGTAACATATTGTTAACTCCATAATTTGAGGTGGGGTAACTCAGGCACAGAGGGATTACACAGCTTTTGCACAGGGAGTCTTCTTTCCTTTAGAAGCTAAAAAAGATCCTACTCTTTGTCTTCTAAACGGTCTGCTAGATTCTATCTGTCCTTTCATACACTTAGCTACATCGAAATATTTTTTTTCTAACCCAAATATATTCTAACGATGCATCAGAAAGTATCCAGAGGTGTTAATTTTCAGTGAAGGCTTTGGCCAAAACTTACCTTTGATGTTAAGTTCCCATTAGTTTCCACCTCACTTGCATCCGTTGGCATCAGCACTGAATTGGATTTCTGATCTGTGTCAATTTCATGTTTTGAACATCAGCCATTTTTGCTGTGGCTCTGTCTGAAACATCAGAATTAAACTGTGCTTAATATCCTGGTTTAAATGCTCAAGGGCCAGATCCAACATTCTCAGTGGTAAAGTGAATGCAACTTTTGTTTCCACAGAACTCGCTATACATACTGAAATTTCTTCTTCATCTTTCTGCATGCAAATTTGGTCCCAGGTAGAAAACCAGGGAAGTGGTGGACAGCTTTCTCCCAAGCCATGTCATGCTTTACTCCCCAGCAAATATAACTATGGTTTGACTCTGGATCATTATTTTTACAGGTTTTAAACTGTAGAACTAACCCCATTTACTGCAATCTGGACAGAGACTTGAAGCATCGGCCTGCAGTGGCTGGGCTACGTCTGTCTTAAACTACTGCTGCTCAGTACTGGTCCAGAAGAGGAGCCATTATTCCAGTGTTTCCCAGCCCCAATCTGAAAGATAAATTTATAATTAGTTCCTCTGTGGGAGATGTCACAAACCAAGAAGCTAATGTGTACATAAAGTGTATGAGATGTGTTGTATACTCACATGTTCATAGCTTTATCCATGTTTCATCTTCCTTTTAAAAATGAGTGTTTCACAGACAGGAGGATGGTAAAAACCTGTACGTATACCATCTTGTTCTGCCTTACTGATACTTTTCTTACACGGTTTCTCATACTTTTACACAGCTAAGATTTCTATCTGCCGTGATATCTGTCACAGCATCTATCATTTGTGAGGTGTGGCAAGCACGCTTTTGCAATGAGGGCTTCATATGTGTACATGCTGGAGAAGGACGATGCTAAACTACGGGCTGATGTTT